TTTTTCTGTCCAATACTTGCTTTATTCAGGACCTTTCCACTTGGACCACGATTGGGATGGGTAGATCACATAGTGGCCTCTATCACCTGCTGACAAAAGATGTCCCTCCTTCAGCTGTTGCCAAAGCCTTTCCTCAATTTACTCAACAGAACTCCATTACTTCTTCTTCTGTTATTAATAGTAGTAATATTTCAGACCTTTGGCATTGTCGCTTAGGCCATATATCTATTTCTAGGTTACGTTTGATCGCAGATCCCATTGTAAAAGACAAGTTTGTTCCTAGTAACACTACTCCTTATTGTGTATGTCCTTTAACTAAGCAACATAGAGTTCCTTTTCCTGTTAGCCAACACAAATCTTCTCACATACTTGAAATGATACACTGCAATTTATGGGGCTCTTTCTCTACTACTGCTTATGATGGCACCAACTATTTTCTCACCATTGTGGATGACTTTTCTATGTGTACTTGGATTTATTTACTTAAAACAAAGTCTGAAACCAGAAAGTGCATAGAGTCTTTCTACAACATGATTGAAACTCAATTCAAAGTTAAAATCAAAATTCTTAGAAGTGATAATGGGACAGAATTTCAAATGAGGGATTTCTTTAACACCAAAGGCATAATACATCAATGAAGTTGTGTAGAAACACCTCAGCAAAATGGGGTGGTGGAAAGAAAACACCAACATCTACTCAATGTAGCTAGAGCTCTTCGGTTTCAAGCCTCCCTTCCTCTAGAATTCTGGAATGATTGCATCTTGACCTCTGCCTACATTATAAACAGAACCCCCACACCATTACTTGACAATAAGTCTCCATACGAAGTTCTTTTCAATACTAAACCCTCTTATGCTTACATGCAAATTTTGGGATGTCTTTGCTATGCTACCACTCTATCCCATGGAAGGAAGAAATTTGATCTAAGGGGTAGGAAATGCATTTTTCTGGGCTATCCTTTCAGGTTAAAGGGTTAAAACTGTTGGACCTTGAAAACAAGACCATCTTCCTTTCAAGGGATGTTGTCTTTCACGAATCTATTTTTCCCTTCTTTGGTTCTAATTCTTCTTCTTCCTATAAAGATCCCAGCACACCTGTTTTTTCTTTACCTCTTTCTGATTCTATTGACTGGCCTTCTCCTTTTACGAATCATAGCCCTACTTCTATTAAGGTCCATGACAGCAATCATAGCAGCCCTTCAACGTCTAATATTCCTATTTCTACTCCGCCTTCTAATTTCCCTCATTCCACTCCTCAGGTCAATCCTAATCCTCACCATGTTGTCAATGAAATTCCACTTCGTAGGTCCAGTAGGACTAGGAATGCACCCAAATATCTTGATGATTTTCACTATCAGCAGGTTACTGCTAATTTACCGTCACGACCTCCAAGCAAAGCCACTTCTAGTCCTCGAAACATTCATTTTCCTTTGACTGAAGTTTTATCTTACTATAATTTGTCTCCTAAAATACAATCCTTTGTTTTTTTCTATTTCAAAGCATGTTGAACCACATACTTATCGAGAAGCAATTAAGAATCCTAATTGGTGCAAGGCCATAGACGCTGAACTATCAGCTCTTGAGTCCAACAAAACTTGGATTCTCACTGACCTTCCACCTGGAAAAGAATCTATCGATTGTAAGTATGTTTACAAGGTAAAATGCAATTCAGATGGATCGGTGGATAGGCTGAAAGCCAGGTTGGTCGCCAAGGGGTACACACAACAAAAGGGTATAGATTACCATGAGACCTTTTCCCCAATTGCGAAGATGGTAACAATTCGGTGTCTCATTAGTATTGCTGCAATTCAAGGCTTTTATTTACATCAATTTGATGTGAACAATGTTTTCTTACATGGAGACCTTCAAGAGGAAATATATATGTGAAAAATCGCTAGGGCATACCAAGGGAGGACCTAATCAGGTTTGTAAGCTACTAAAAAGTCTGTACGGGCTTAAACAAGCCTCTAGACAGTGGTATGCAAAATTTTCTTCCTGTCTTTTATACTTTGGTTTTGAGCAGTCCAAAGCAAACTACAGTTTATTTACTAAAAGAGACAAAGATTCTTTCGCTGCTTTGCTTGTTTATGTTGATGATATTTTAGTTGCAAGCAATAGGTTGGATTCAATTGCTATCTTAAAACAACTGTTGGATGCACAGTTCAAGATAAAAGACCTTGGGACTTTAAGGTATTTTCTTGCGATAGAGATAACACGATCAATAGAAGGAATTCACCTTTGCCAGCGAAAGTATGCTCTGGACATCCTTTCAGATTCAGGCACTTTGGCTTCTAAACCTATGAAAATTCCCATGGATCAAAATGTGAAACTCAGCAAAGAGGATGTGAAACCCTTACCTGATCCTAGCTCTTACTGCAAATTGATTGGGAGGCTAATGTATTTAACAATAACGAGACCTGATATTAACTACACTATACAGATTCTCAGCCAATTCATGAATTGTCCTACAACATCTCATTTGCCAACAGCATGCAAAGTTCTAAAGTACATTAAGTCAGCTCCAGGCCAAGGCATTTTCTTACCAGCTTCTTCTCCCCTACAACTCCAAGCCTGCTGTGATTCTGACTAGGCTTATTGCCCGGATTCCAGAAGATCCGTCACAGGGTATTGCATCTTCATAGGATGATCTTTAATTTCTTGAAAATCCAAAAAGCAGACTGTTGTTTCTCGATCTTCAGCTGAGGCTGAGTACAGTGCCATGGCTGCTACTTGTTCAAAACTTACATGGCTTCGCTATTTACTTCATGACCTACAGATATCGCACCCCAAACCTGCGTTACTTTTCTAAGATAACCAGGCAGCATTCCACATTGCTGCCAATCCTGTTTTCCACGAAAGAACTGAACATACAGAGATTGAATGCCATTTAATTCGAGATAAGATCTTAGAAGGAAGTGTTCAGACTTCTTATGTCTCCACTCATTTACAATTGGCAGATCTCTTTACCAAAGCTCTGCCCTCTTCTGTCATCCATTCTCACTTGTCCAAGATGGGAATAGTCAATTTCTATTCTCCATCTTGCGGGGGGATATTAGAATCTTTTAATGCTGATGCTCAAACCAGTTGCTGAAGCAGGAATATTATAGAGAGAGCATCAATCTGTTAGAAGATTTTTTATTTTGTGCTGAGCTGTAAATTAATTCTGTTATTTTGAGTTAGTGGATATGGAAGATTCTTGTTATTCCTTTGTGTATATATAGTCCTTTTCCATTTGTAATTAAGTGAACTTTTCACGAGAATTCCCTTTTTGAATGAAGAAAGGTTTCCTTCTCTCCATGGCCTGATTCACCTGTTTCTTCTTATTTACATTTCTTTTGATTTCTTACAAAGTTAAAGAATCCTAATGTTTTCACTAACCTCACCAGCATCAGTCATTTGTGTCAGAAACAAAAAGAAAAGGATTTCGTAAAAAAACCACGACTCATAAAGTGAAATCTCCAATAGTGAGAGCCTGTTTGACAACATTATTGTAGAAAAAAAAAAGAGTTTTGAATAGTGATTTTTAGGATAATGTGTAACTAAAAAAGTAGATAAAATTTTTTAGTATATATGTTGAATTTTTTATTATGTGAATGTGTGATCCTGTAGGAAACTATAAAATAAATTAATGGTTGTCAAACATGCACTGAATATCACAAGTTAAAGAGGGTTCACACATTAATTCTATTTGAATATAATTGCATGCCTAAAAATTTTCGTCAACACAATCATCGGATGAAAGAACGCTGAATAACCTGCATGTGACGCGACTCCTAAGGTTGGCCATTTCCTCTACTGTTAGACCTTCCTGAAAAAAATTGGGGGCTGTTAAACTATGAGAATTAAGGGAAATTTGAATTTGCATCAAATTAATACTGAATTGGTGGCAATTCCTATAACAGACACCATGTGTTGATGTCAGTTTCACTCTGTTCAAGCTTTTCAAGCTTAGAACCTGTAATTTAGCATGTCAAGGACCAAACTGAAAGCACGTCAACCCTGTAAATACATGTTTTCTCCATCTAAAATAGTATGAGATCTGAAAAAGATATCCCAGTAAACAGAAATCCATATACCCATATAAAACATGCGTACACTTGCAAGACAGAGATAATCCAAGTCCACAGCAAGAATGAAGCCCAATTGAGTAGAATATATAAAATGAAGGAAATTAGCTCTCATTGAAAAACTTAACAGAAGCAAATAAGATAACACGTTAATTTCTCACCAGACAAATTTTCTAGAACCAAAGGTTTGCAAGGGTCAATTGTAATAATAACGCCTACTTAACAAAGGCTTGTACCCTCAACCTAAAAGCCAAACATGTTTTGAGATATAATTTCTTGGATAATGTCAATGTTTAAAGACATATTTTAATTATTAGCTGATATGGATACTACAAGCATCAAATATTCAATGCCCAAAAGGCAAAACAAACACAGGGGAAAGGGAAACAATGAATTGACCTTTAATTCATTTGGAGACATCTTCAGTATATGGGACGGTTCCAGCTCCCCACTCAGAAGACACCGTGCTAATACAGCATTGTTCTGGAAAGGAACTGTGAGTTTATAATGAAGAAAAATACTAAACAGAGAAAAGAAAGTATATTAATTACGGCACAGATGGGGATAGATTAAAGCATTTAATCAAATTGTTTGCATACTCAAGAAAAGAAGTTGGCAACCTTAAGACTAAATTTTAAATGCGGCAACTTTTGGTCATACTTCTCTGAATCTGAGGAAAGTCCATCGTGCGCAGCCTTCTCAAGAGCAACTATAGATGCAAGGGTCAATTGTAATAATAACGCCTATTTAACAAAGGCTTGTACCCTCAACCTAAAAGCCAAACATGTTTTGAGATATAATTTCTCGGATAATGTCAATGTTTAAAGACATTTTTTAATTATTAGCTGATATGGATACTACAAGCATCAACTATTCAATGCCCAAAAGGCAAAACAAACACAGGGGAAAGGGAAACAATGAATTGACCGTTAATTCATTTGGAGACATCTTCAGTATATGGGACGGTTCCAGCTCCCCACTCAGAAGACGCCGTGCTAATACAGCATTGTTCTGGAAAGGAACTGTGAATTTATAATGAAGAAAAATACTAAACAGAGAAAAGGAAGTATATTAATTACGGCACAGATGGGGATAGATTAAAGCATTTAATCAAATTGTTTGCATACTCGAGAAAAGAAGTTGGCAACCTTAAGGCTAAATTTTAATGCGGCAACTTTTGGTCATACTTCTTTGAATCTGAGGAAAGTCCATCGTGTGCAGCCTTCTCAAGAGCAACTATAGAATTAACAGCTGCATTTGGCCAGACAAAGGACATATCACTCTGTGCAAAGAAAAAAAACATCTCACATTTATTTGCATCTTCTCACAACTAATATCATTAGTCAGAATATTTAGTATTAGCTGCAAATGATCAACTTAATGTTTCATAACCTGAAAAAAAATAAAATTGATACTGCACATTTGGAGTCTCGTTATGAGATCTATTTACAAGATTCAAGCGACTAATCTTATTAATAATTCTGCTGCCAACACCCCTTTTTTCTTTCCCATCATTCTTCTTGCTGTCCATGGACATGCACATAAATTCAATTGCTTGTAGCAGCCTTTCCAACCACCTGTCATGTTGTGTTTCCTCGGTGAGTACCTTGTGTTGTGATACGATAGCATAGTACTTTCAGTTCTTCCAGGAATTTCTGCACTAACAGATTGATGGGATCTAAAAATTCCTCCATCCTCCCTGGAAACATTTAAAGGCGACATATTCCTCATCCCTAAAAGAAGTTTTTTCGTTCTCTGATCTTCCTGATCTACAAAATTATCCCCAGGTTCAATGTCAGGAAGGTCTCCTAGACGTGAAATTGTCTTCTGGACAAGCAAATCAATCACATATTTTTCATCATCATATTCTCTGTCAGCTTGAACAACCTCTTATGTTCAGAGTCATATACATTTTGCACTATAAAACTAGGATGTTGCTTTTGATTTGGAAGTATCTTGTTAGAAGGTATGAAGTGCAAAACGCACTTGTGCAAAACATATTCTGCAGATTCTTCATCTCGGTGGAAACTATAAAATATCTCCCGCCTAGTACGTGCTTGCCAATTTCCGCCATCACATTTTTTTTTTTTTTTGCATCCTCCAGATGATAAAACCAATGTCCAGTTACCATCATGGCTCCATCTTGGGTCTGTGTAATGTCCTGCACACAGAACAAGAACTCGTTACTAAATTCAGAAAAAACGAATACACAAATAGTAAGATGTGTATTCCATGCCTAATCTAGTTCTAAAATAAAGTAAATAACACATAATTAAAACGTGAAAGATAAAATGATAATTTAAGATATACCAAAAAGACTTTTACAATTTACAGACAGAAACATCAAGAAGGATATAATATAAGATATACTGAAAGACTTCAAACCCTAGGGGGTTGTTTGATGAAAAACACAATACAGTTCAGCAGTCATTTGCAAAACAACCAACAGTCCATGGATATGGTGAACTACACATATTAAGAGTGTTTATTAGCAAATAAAAGCGCAACTAATTGATTCTTTAATTGACCTTCACATCTTAGATTAACTAATGCATAAAAACAGAACAAACCTTCAGTATGGCCACGTAAGGCTTCATATGTGTTTCTTGGTGAACTAACAGCACAGGATCCTCCTAGAAATAAAGAACATCGTGCTATTGAAGCAAAAGTGCAGAAAAAATCTAAACATACGAAATGAGTAACAATTACAAGGTTTAAAAAGGATAACATCTTGGGGGTTCGGGGGAAACACCCCCGGTGGGATTAACCTGCCCGACCAGGTCACGAGGTCGAAGGGGCAACCCCCGAAAGGAATTTTGATTTGTAGACAATTGTGAGCTTTTGTAATTTTTTTTTAATGTTTTTGAATTAAATTGTCAATAAATGAAATTGTATTTAGTTTATGTAAAATGTAAGCAAATGTTATCATGTAAATTTAAAAATAAGTGTTCGTAAATTTGGTTAATGTTATTTTTAAATGTATTGTAAAATTTTGAAATATACAAGATATAAATGATTTTTTTTTTTTTTTTTTTTTTTTTTTTTTTTTTTTTTTT